CCACAAGGGGCCCCCAGGAGGGGCCCCACAGAGGCTCCCTCTAGGGTCCCCACAGGGGACCCCTCTAGGGGCCTCCAGGAGGGGCCCCACAGGGGGCCCTCTGAAGGGGTCCCCCTGAAGAGCCCCCCTGTGGTACCCCCAAAAAGGGCTCCCAGGAGGGGCCCCCCTGTGGGGAGGGGGCCCCCCTGGGGGCCCCCCAAAAGAGGCCCCTGGGAGAGGCCCCCTGGGAGGGGCCCCCCGGTGGAGGCCCCAAGAGGTGCCCCCGTGAGGGGCCCCTAGGGGGGCCCCTCACAGGGGGCCCCAATAAGGGACCTTCTCGGGGGGCCCCCGGGGGCCCCTGTCCAGGTGAACCCAGGGCGGCCCCCCTGGGGGTTGGGGGCCCCTGGGGAGGCCCCCTGACAGAGGGCCTGGCAGCAGCAAAGAGGCCCTTAAACAACAACTGGGTGGAAGCAAATGTGGGGCCCCTCGTGTCATTTTATGAAGCACCTAAAATGGCATTCGGGAAAGACTTGTGGCAGTTCTTGCTGCTGCCAGGGACTACAACTGCTGCTGCTGCTGCAGCAGCAGCAGCGCCTGCTGCTGCTGCTGCAGGGGCTCCGGCGGGCCTAAACACCTGCCAGGGGCTTCAGAGCCCCTCTGTCCCTCTCCCCGCAGCAACTGCAGCAGCTGAATTGACGCACGTCTTGCTGCCTGCAGAGCAGCCGCAGCAGCAGCACGCTGCAGCAGCAGCAGCAGCAGCGTGAAGCAGCAGCAGCAAGAAAGCCGTACGGATGTTCACAAGGCAGAGTTCTCCATGGTCACCTCCATAGCGCCTGTAGCACAGCAGCACGTACACCCAAGACCCCACACTGCAGACTCACCAGCAGCAGCAGCAGCAGCAGCAGGAGCGCAGCAGAAACAGCAGCAGCAGCAACGACATCAGCAGCAACAGCAGGAGCAGCAGGAGCAGCAGTAACAGCAGCAGGAGCAGCAGGAGCAAGCGGCTCACTGGGCCCCGCGTCTTGCTCGGGAGCTGCTGCGACTGCAGCAGCAGCAGCAGCAGGTTGTGCTGCAGTGCTGCTGAAATAAGCATCTAAGTCCCTATCAAGTCTTTCTTTAACAACTTCTTCTCCCATATAAGCTTCCAGCTGCGCATCTAAACCCTCAGCAGTAGGGGGGGCCCCCCGGGGCCCCCGGGGGCCCCCCCCCCTGCGGCCGCGGGCCCCGCGCCCGCGCCCGCGCC